AAGGGGAACGAGATGATGGAGTTTGGATGATGAATTTTTAGGCAGCCCTTCGTAATTTTCAAATACTACAAATTGAAAAGGCTGAACGACTCCTGTATTCTGCTAGAAAGCCTGCGAATAGAGCATTCTGTCATATTAATGCGGTGCCTGCATCCGTGTCCCTGTCTGTTAGTGCTGATTTGTTTTCCGAGAAGCTCCTCAGTGTTCCTTAATGCCTCGTGCCTTAAATTCAAAGCAGACCTGAGACGGAATTTCCTCCTCCTTGTTTTCTGAAGATGTTACCAATACAGTGTCTGCTTTCTCCGATGGAAAAATTGGAGATAAACTTCAAGAGGCACCTTCTTGTCTCGACGTGGGGGGCCTTTGCTCTGGACAGTGATGGGATTCAGGCTGAAGTGGCGAAAATTAGCACAGCAAATTAACATAGAGAAAGATATGGTGGCTGGTGAGCTGAAGATAAACATTTTGATACGGATCTATGGGCAGATATGGATCTATAGTACAGACTGATCTAGCAGATAGTGCTAGATAGTGAGAGTTCTGGGCTCAAATACAATTATCTATATCGTTTGGGTCTGTGTTTGGGTCAGTCCTTAGATGCGTATTTCTGGATCTGCTGGGGTTTGGTTCATACTTACTGCTACTTGGTTGTTCGCTTTTGGTTGCATCTGAATGAGGAAACCAGAACCGACTTGTGTGTTTGTCATCTGACTGAGGTCACGTCCTCATGAGGAAGCTCAGAAAAAACTAAATACATAAAAAGATGGTTTTATTTTTTTTTTAAATATATTCATTACTATTAGCTCAACTCATCAGAACCGACTGTAAACAGGTGGAAAAAAAAATTCTGTTTTTCCATTTCCATAGCTAAAGAACACGTGTTTCTGGGGCTCTGGGGGCTGCAATACATCTATGGCCACTAGGGCGCACCAGAACTTTCCTGCTTGACCGGCTGATTAGCAGCATAGTGGAGAGATTTTGGTTCTAATTTGCACAGTAACTGGCACAGTAAGTTCTTTGCAGCAGTGGTGTGTTGCCAGCTTGCAGTGTTAGAGCGGGTGATTTGGGGTTAGGGTTAGGGTTAGGGTTATGCGGAAGGTGGCAGGGTTAGGGTTAGGGTTATGCGGAATGTGGCAGGGTTAGGGTTAGGGTTATGCGGAATGTGGCAGGGTTAGGGTTAGGGTTAGGGTTATGCGGAATGTGGCAGGGCTGGAATGTTCGCAAGTTACTGAAAGACAAATGGTCATTTTAAGAAAGAGCACATTAGAGTATTCTGGATTTGATATTGTGCGTTTTCTGCAGATAACCCAAACCGGGCTTCTCCGCCACCTGTCCTCACACCCCTTGTCCAATAGTTTCCCGATCAAGGCCTGTGAAATAGTTTCCAGCAGTCTCTGTAGGAATTATTGGGTTGGGTGGGGGGCGGTATGGTCCTTTGTGAGGGCCCCATCTGCAGTGATTAGACAGCCAGTTGGAGCATGGGGGGAAATTCTGAGCTCAGGTGCTGGTGGCATGTGACGGGTCAACGGAGGGGGCAGGCGGGAAGCCCAGGGTGGTGTTAAATGGCCCTCTGGAATCTTCAGAAGCATGCAGTGGGACATCATATCACCTGCGGTGTTTACCTTCCAGGCGAATGTCACAGGTGCTCGGTGACAGCCCAGGTGACATCTTCATTGAGCCAGGATTAGCACGACACAGCATGGTCCCGCCTGCGATAGTTTGAGCCGAGTTTATGGCATGCAGGTGCATCAAGAAACGGAGGGGGGGGGGGGAGCCCATGTTGAACACCGAGCGATGTTGATAATTCTTGCCCAGGAAGAGTATCAGTGATGCCTATTATTATGATGATGGTATACACTGAGAATTGAATCTGCCCCAGTATGCTTAACATTCAGGTGTCCGGTAGAGCCCAAGGCAGTGACAGGAAGCAGATCCATGCTATCCCCAAGCTAACAGATCACCCAGTGGCCTGACTCATAGTAATGAGAGTCCATTCGATGGAGACAGCCACCGCGACCCTCAGGCCAAACACAAGGTGTTCCGTGAACAGAGCTTCCACAGGCAAAGCCGTCCGTGCAAGTGGCTGGTCTTTTTCTTTGCCGGTTTCTGAAGGATTGCAAAACACACAGACTAGCCACAGGGAGACCACATGTGTCTGAATAAGTTGGGCGTGTGTCCTGCATACGAAGAGGCTCAGGGCTCCTCAGTTTAACCTGAGCTGCGAGCTGCAGACAGGCAGACCCTGGGAGAAAAATCTCAATGTTCCCTCAAGAGGACACCCCAGTCAAACACAGCGGCCATTTTCTCAGGCATCTAGCTTTGCCTGCATGCTCATCCTCTTTACTGACGATTATCACGATTAAAAAGGCATCGTTACAAAGGATCTCGGTCTATCATGTGAGCCCACCTCAAAGCAAGGCAAGGCATTTGGCATATCTGCTAATAAGATGACGTTATCCATCCATCCATTACCCATACCCACTTCTCCTACGACTCCAGTCTACCTTAGAATGTTTATGAACTGTGGGGGAAACCGTAGAACCCAGAGGAAACAATATGACATCATGGGGAGAACATGTGAACTGCACACATGTAGACCTAGGACAGTGGCTCGAATTTTCAGAGGCGTGAGGTCATAGTGTTAATCACTGTACCACAATTATTATTATTTTTTCGTTTTTGTTGTTGCTGCTGCTGTGTTGATAATAGATAGTGCTTTACAGTAACTGTATCTTCATAATGCCTTCGTAATGCATTCATAGAACATTCATGGAACATTCATAAGCTACATGTAAGTACACCTTAACATCCTAACATACCTTAACAGCTTTAATATACATTAATAACAAACATTATATGACAATAACAAACATTATAATTGTGTAATCACATAGTGTTTGTTTTTAATGCACAGTAAAGCTGTTAAGGTATGATAGGATGATAATGTATACTTACATGCTGCTATGAATGTTCTATGAATGCATTATAAAGGTGCAGTCAATGTAAAGTGTTACCAAATATCATCACCATCATCCTCAATATGTTTTCTGTATGGAATATAGGGTCACAGTGAGTCTGGGGCCTATCCTGGAAATAATAATAATAGTGTTTCTTCCTGCTGTGTGTGATGTTACCGAATGGCCGTCCTTCACAGAATCACCAGCAGCAGCACATTTTCACAGCACGTTCCCCGGTTCACGTGGCACTCGACTAGGCCCACGGCCGAGAGAGTGAGAAGATGATGAGTAAATTCTCGGCTCTGCCGTAATGCCGCCCCCCACTCCCATCTGCGCCCACTGGTGTGGAAAGCAGACTGATGCAACTGTGCAACTGTGCCTCCTGTATAATCAGTGCCAACTTTAACCAAGCCTGTTAACCACCAGCACTGGGTGAATGTTTACAGGTAGGAGCTGTTCAGCACAAAATAACAGCAGACTGAAGAAAACACCTAGGGTTCTACAGTACACACGGGGAATAGCCCACTTAAGTCACAGACTGCCAGTGATATTTATTGTGATGGGCTGTTAGTGATAATCAAAATAATTACCCAAAGCCGTCTACTAATAATCACCAATGGAGGCACATCACAGGAAGAAAAACTTTTTTAAAATAATCATGATGTGTCTAATTTGTTACCTTGACAGCAGGAGGGTTTGACGATTCGTTGCCGAAGAGGAGGCCGGCGTTAAACCTGCCAGCGCTGAGATATTTCAAACGCCAGATCAATTAAAGCCTGTGCTGGCATTTTAAACGATATCATTCCTGACTGAGGAGGAGCTGAAAAACAGAAACCGACATCTTTCATTAACAGATTCCATATATTGTTATGTGAGACACATTTAACTGGAACGTACAGTAGTAACTGCATAAAAAAGGGATGAGGCCCGAGGAAATGTGGTAAACGGGATTCAAGTTTGTCTTACTTCTCCAGAGTTGGAGGTTCGAATGTCACATCTGCTCTGTGTGTGGGTGGAGTATGTATGTTCTCCCCGTGCTTTAGAAGTGTTCCCTTGGGTACTCCAGTTTTCCCGCACAGTGCCATAAGATTATTTGGCATCTCTAAATTGCCCATAACATATTCATGGTCATGGCTGCCTTTCGTAGGCTCCAGGTCCCCGTGCAGCCCTGCTAGGATAAGAGGTCAGCAAATGGATGGATGGACCAAGATCACCAATAGCAGATCAGCTAAAACGCTGCCTTTTACGTTCTACGATTTATAGTGTAATTTAGGCAGTTTTTAACTTATTAAAATAGCTTGGGATGAAAGAATCATCAGAGCGAATCAAAAATGGGATGTAACAAGTTAGTCTGCTGGGCAGCGGGCAGACGCAGGACTTTCAGCAAGAGTAGGGCAAAGCCAGCGGCGACTTTATCGACGGCATCGCTTAAGGATTCGGCGTGCGTATTCTGTGGCGTTGATTTAATAAGAGTTCCACGCGCTGCAGTGGGGTTCCGTTAACAAAAATCATCATAAATCAATCAGCAGACTTCACGCTCAACCCTTAACAAGCCATTTGTCAATCCCCGCCAGATTCGGGAAGGGGGTCGATGACTGATGTGTTTACTAATGTAATAATTCAGCGGAGGGAAACATTATACAGGAGCAATATGATCCTCTGTCCTCCCAGCCTCCTAAGGTTCCGCTGAGGCAAAATAACGGCTATAGATTACCTTTTTTGGTAATTAAATCTCAGTAATTACCTTTAAAACCATTTAAAAACAACAAAACCGAACATACTAAGGAAATGTTACAGAGATGTGACACAGTTGTGAAGATGTGGACAAAAATGAATTTCACTGTGGCTGATGCGGCAGAACTTTCACAGTGCTTTGTGTGAAGACGATCGCGTTATAAACACAACCGCGGCGGTGCACGGGGGCATCAGGACTGAAGCAAAAGGAGGATAATTTAGCAGGATGAAGCAGGAAAGTGCCCCGCCCCCTCCCCGCCACCCCTGTTATTCTGTGTTGCTGACGAATGTCTCTCCTCTTTCCGCCAGGAGGCCTGGCCATGTTCTCGCAGCAGCCCCAGGACCTGGTGGTGGTGGCTGGCCAGCCAGTCACCTTGCCTTGCTCCATCCCCGGTTACCATGGCGTCGTGCTCTGGATCAAGGACGGGCTTGCTCTGGGTGTCGGCCGAGACCTCTCAGGTAGCTCCGAGCTGTCGTGCTCTTCACTCCTCATACTCACTCACACGCCAGGCTCTTCCTGTCCTCTTCAGTCCTCCAAGAGCAATTCATTTCACTCTGTATATTTTTGTTCTTGTTTCCTTCTGGATCCCCATCAACGACGTGTCAATCAGCAGGTACGCTAACATGGGAGGCTGCAACACCGGGATGTTCATTTAAAGTTAATCATGAATTAAAAGCACTCCGCATGTCCTCGGAGAGCCCACCTGATCCGCCGATAGCAGCTTCCCAAACCTCATGAGGATTCGACTTTGAGGATTACCTACACAAAAGATTAACTTAAGCCAAATTAGCGCTTCACAAAGAACTACTCGTCTGAACTGCACAAGTGTAATAACACTTGGCACATAAATTAACTGCTAGGGGCAAAAATGAATTCTGAAGGGCTGGTCATGTTTTAATGACGGCACCTAGTAAACAGGTTTTAATGAATAGCTCTGTGCTAATTATCGTGTCCTTAAATAATTATGTTAATGGTTTAATTTTGAGCAACACTGCCGTACTGTCATTGTATGAGGCAGCAGATCTCTCCCCTAATGTTGACAACTAATCCATATTCATAGTAGCCAATGAATATCCATAGAGGGCACCGCTGTCTTTAATCTTCCCCTTATATAAATATTTACTGCCTTTTAAACTGGAAGCTTTTTTTAGGAGGAGGGTGGGAGGAACACCCACCTCGATTTTTAATCACAACATGATTTATTGAAACATCTGCAGGCTTTGGAATATTACTAGATGTTTAAGGAATGGATGCATATCGCCGCTCTAGTGGTTGTCACCAGTATTTCTTCGCTTTTTTTGGTCTTCAGTTCTTTTTTTTTTTTCTTTTTACCAACTATCTTAGGACCTGTTTCCTGAAAATGAGAGATTAATCTCACTGGGTACTTGCAAGGTAGAAGCCTGTTAGAATCCATGTCTTTAAATAGACCTTGTGTGAGAGGTTCCCTGGTCTGTTGCCCCCTGTTCTTCAATGGCTGCCCCTAGTCAGAGATCACTCTACTTAATTAAACATCCTATTAAATACGTTTCTTTTATCCCATTTATCTGCACCCCATGAGTTGGATACTTAGTAGGGGGAGCAGTGGAGTGGGGGGAGGGGTTACCGAGGAGAGACAAAAGAAGTCCCGGGTGAGAGGGGGGGGGGGAGCGGCCTCCACGGGTCTTCCGTCACGGAATCGACGGCGCTTCACGCTTTACTGCGGGGCCAGTGGCTGAGGAGAATTATAACGAAGCCGTAAAGACAGATGGAGGGGGAGGCAGCTTCAAACACACCGTGGGGCGCTAAGATGAATGATAAAAAAAAATCTGACCAATGCTCTCCAACAACTGCTAAAGTCTGGAGAGGACCCAGGACCACAGGCACAGGCAAACCTATATCCTACGAGTGGCAGACATTTAAAAATCATTAGATCACCCAATGGAACTATGACTAAAAGCTCAATACAGGCGGAATTGCTGTTCTAACCTCTTCTGTGGGCTTCCAGAATAAAACGGTAAGCCACTATGCTTTATTTGGATAGTAAACAATGTAACTATACACAATGAAAGCCCTCTGGTAGTGATATAGATAGAATAGCACTATTTTATTCATCTCCATGGGGAAATTTTGGTAGTTTTTCACATAAGCCATCTTGCTCTTTGTGAGAGACACAGACATACGTGTATTTATACAGATGAGAGTGAGTTCTTGGGGTGAGAGTGCAGGGTCAGTGAGCTTCCAGCACCCCTGGTGCAGTTTGGGTTAAGGGCCTTGCTCCAGGGTCCAGCAGTGATATTATTGCTCTGCCAGCTACAGGAATCGAGCCCACGACCTTGCAGACACGGGGACAGGCCGCTAGCCCACTGCGCTACACACTGCCCCAGTGAGGAACATGGGTCAGGCTGTTTAGCATGTGGCTGATCTGTTTAGGAGAACAGTGATTAAACTTGAATAAATCTATCACTATACAGTCTATTAAATCAGAAGACAAAGGCGGCTGATTCCTATCGGTCCCTCATTCTCCCGCAATCCCCCTCCGTTTCGTTCATATAATTTTAATTAAAGAGCCGGACAGGCAGTCAACGTCTCACCAATACGCAAGTGGCCCTCATGAATATTCACGGCCCGTAGCGGCAGCGTTAACAGTCTGCATATCAAAGGCGATCGGCGGGAATTGGCCGTCGGCGAGCACACGCGCGGCGGGGGAAGAGTGCTTTTGGTGGCACAGCTACTAACGTGCAAGAGGCAGAATTTATTTTTTGCCCCCCCCGTGGAGCTCAGAGGTACATGCAGACACAGACACACACCCTTTCATTCTCCCTCCTCTGCCCCTGACTTACTGGCCTGGGTTCTGGTCAGAGACCCCCCCAACATGCAGGTGCAACACCCTGCCGGTATGAATCACTGTCTTCTCCTCCCCTTCACAGCAATTTCCCCACTATTGATCTGCTATAAAAGCTAATCCATTCCCGCTCTGATGGATTCATTACCTTTAATGGGGCTATTTTACATCGTTTGCTGTCTGTGACACACGTTGTCTTTAGGAATTCATTAGGATCCATATAAGTATTATTTAATATTGTCCTTCTCTCCCTGCCATTCCCTGGTGAAGTCTAGGGGGGGGGGGTCTATTAGGGTTTCTGAATGGAGTAAGGTCTTAACTCTCGGGGCCCCTGGGCATGAATAACTCTCTTTCAACAACTCATAGATCCTCATCAAGACAGGAGACAAAGACCTTCTCCAGCTGTGCCGCCCCATTGATAGATCACGGTAAACATTCGAGGGTTATACATTTTTCAAGGGTTGAAATCGGTGCAATCTAAGCTCAAGTAATGTCAGAGAGGCAGGATTTTAGACAAAATGCAAATCGACTGTTGAGTCAACAGGGCATAATACAGCCACACTGGTGCCCAAAAAAACAGGCGTTAAATATGGACATTATGCAATTATATTTAGCAAAATTAGCACCTTTGTTCCCACCTGAGACCCTCAAAAGCTGAAAGCTTCACAATATTATTTAATAGGATTTTCATACAGATCGTAATTTTACCATGTCTGGTCAGGACCGATGTCTCTGCTTTTAGAGGGCAGACGGAATGCAGAAAATGACATTAATGATGGCTTTTAAGCACGACTGAACCAGACTTTGAAGGAAACTTTTGGTTCCCATTCACTGATAAAATCGTGCAATCACACAATGGTGTATAAAGACCAGCTGAAACTCACTTCCCTTCAACATCTACTCTTCTACTCTTATCATGAATTCAGGAGGAAGGTCATAATCATGGAGCATAAGGTCTGGTACGAATGGGAAGTGGACCTGTGACTCAAGAGCTGGAACAGGTGTGGGTCCTAAGGGAACCGGGAGAGAGAGGGGTAAAGACTAGGCCAGGGTGGTTAAAGGCTATTCAAGAGAGGGCATGCTGAGGGTCATTCAGACCTCCACCTAGACGAGGGCAAGAACATGGGACGTCTTCACCTGACACATTCTGGGAATACTCTTCCCCTAATGCCTCTTCTCCACTCCCATCTCTCTCTGTGGTGCTGAATGTACGTTCCACAGCTCCTACCGGTCCTCCATCTCACTCCGTGGTGCTGAATTGTACGTTCCACAGCTCCTACCGGTCCTCCATCTCTCTCCGTGGTGCTGAATTGTACGTTCCACAACTCCTACCGGTCCTCCATCTCTCTCCGTGGTGCTGAATTGTACGTTCCACAACTCCTACAGTACCTCTCCTCCACCTCTCTCCGTGGTGCTCGACTGTACAATCCACAGGTCCTACTTCTCCTCCATTGCTCTACAAGGTGCTGAACCTGCTGGTCTTGCCTCAAAGCATGGCACAGGAGCTAGAGGAGGCCTTACAGTCCAGCACAGCCCTACAGTCCAACGTCCATTCAGTACCCTCTCATGATATTATTTATTATATATATATATATGTAGATTTGGGATACTGTGATATGTATTTGTTTTGCAAAGCAGCTCAACTTAATTCCAACTCTGATATAAATACATTTCCAGCAAAGTGCCATGATAAGCTGGGTGAGGACACCATGGCTTTTAGTGAAGTCCTTGAGTCTAACTATTCAGACAGCAGTGCTACAAAACTCCAATTATCATTCATTGCTTCATTGGATCCCATTCACTTTAATAGACCATGAAGTACCCCTCATTTTCCCATTGAGGGGAGAGTTACTGTCTATTACTGCCCTATGCATTTTATATTCCCACATATCACTTTTAATCTCTGATCCTGGTGAAATTACATAGTAAAAACATTAAACAAGGGTCACGGCAAAGAATTGGTAATGTTGGTGTTGATCAGGTGGAAGATTAATGTTGGGGTCAGACTCTACCAGACAGCTGGGAGTTTGGGACGAGAGAGAAGAAAGCCATTCTCTGACCAGTGCCCTTTGTGGGGCCTGATCTCTACAGCTTTGCCCATGAAATGGGAGCCAGATGTAAAGTCGGGGAAAAAAATGGTCCAGAGAGGTTATGTGAGGTCAGCTTTCAGTTTAATGGTGGTGAGATCAAACTTAACTGCAGTCAGTAAATAACATTAATGGCCATCGGTTCTGTGTAACACGCCCTGGTTTATGTCACTGCTGACGAATCAATCGGCCCACTGAAAAATCTATTAGCATTTAACGTGTTGGGAGATAGTTATTTTGCTGACAGGGTTGGGATATTAATTGTTATATTCCGGAAAGCTTTCCCGCTGCTGTTCAAATGTCAGTTTTTGTGTCCATAGTGATGTCACGATGCCATTGGCTGGGTGAGCCTGCATATTAATCTGCACCAGTCTGATCATGTCGAACTGATGCGCAGTGGATGCTCTAAACTTGGGAGAAATTTTAGAAAAGGTATAAGATCAAAGAGATACCTTGAAGAGCAAAGTATATCCGCCGCTTCGCAAATCCTTCGCTGGTCATACTGCCTGAATCTGTATTTATTCCATTTTATGGATTTCGCTGAGATGCCTCTACTGGATTTGTTTAATTATTGATGTATTTAGTTTGGACTTTATCCTGACCTATCACAGAATTTACCTACAGGGATCCCATTTCGGCATGAACAGCCCTTGACCTCATCACATTAAATTAAGTTTTTTCCGCTCGCTCTCAGCAAGAGGTATGCAAAACTGGAATATGTTCATCAGTAGTCATTTTACCAAAACTAGCAAATACTTCTGGGATTCAGTCCGGATCGTAGGCTATGGTCTCTGTAGGTCAGGGCCAATGCGCCAAGCACTGGATCAAAGAACATTCTTGCTGTCCATGCTAACTCTGATATACCACATGACCCATGCTGTGCGAAACAGTGATTTCCTTTGGGCGATGTGGATTCGATGTGCGATTTGGATTTGATGTGCGTTGTGGTGAACCCACTTTCACGCTGCCCACTGAGACTCTGCGAAACGCTACTTGGATGTAGCACAGAGATCAGGTGAAAAAAGTGCAAAAAGTAAAACACTGACGAAAAGCCATTCACTGCCAAACCTTTTGAGAATCCGAACAATAAGACAGCGCTTTGCCCAATAAGTATTTTTGATTTTCATCTTGAGGGCTCCTGAAGGGTACCGGTAAGGCTTTTCTAATCAAACGCAGCCTTTCCTGAACTCCCATGGAGAAATTCCCTGTGCTTAAGAGCCAACGGTGTAAATTCCTCTAATAGATATTTAAAGTGCTTTACAACCAGTGGATTTTATCCCTCCTGTAAAGTACTGTAAAATAAACCACTCTCCATCTTATTAAACTATAAATTTCATACCGTTTGTCACCAAAGCATATTTCAATATTCCGTGTCCGTGTGCTCAGTATCAATAAAAATAATTTGTGGGCCTGGTACAAAGAGGTTTCCATCTAGAATTTATATTACTTTTATTACCATATCTCTGTTTGCCAGGGAGCAACTGACAGCTCATTGTTGCTTCAAATAGAATATCTGACTGATTGTGATCTGAGGCTCCTCATAGTACCAGTGACCTTCTTCTGTGGCTCTGGACGTGTAGTTAAGCTGACGATATCTTGGGAGAGCGATCGCTCGATGGCAGGGCACTCAGTTGTCCATTTTTCACAAATCAAATGACAGCAGAAGTAAAAATAATGTAGAGGTGCTGTGTCCCCCAAAAGAGTATCACCCAGAGACGAGGTGGGTGCTTCTGAGTGAGGGAGTGGTTTTGACACACACACATGCACATGTAGGGTAAACATATCCTTATGGGGACCGCTCATTCACACACACACACACACACACACACACACACACACACACGCACATGTAGGGTAAACATATCCTTATGGGGACCGCTCACACACACACACACACATATGTTATAACACCGTATCATATATATGTTATAACACCACATCATATATACAGTATGTTATAACACCTCATCATATATATGTTATAACACCTCATCATATATATGTTATAACACCTCATCATATATATGTTATAACACCTCATCATATATATGTTACAACACCACATCAGTTCCCAAACCTCTCCTCAGGGGCACCTCTGCTATTTCAAGTATTGGTTACATTTCTGCACCAGCTCAATTAGTTAATTAATCGAATTAGTAAAAAACAAAAAGTCAGTTACGTATTGATCAGCCATTGAAGGTGGTGGTGATACAAAGTAAAAAAAAAACATACATGGGTGTTTTGGATGGTTGCTGCAGCTCCTGGGATGATTTTCAGAGAGGTTTGGAAACGACTACGTTAACATAATTTGTGAGACGTATATTTTTACGGCAACAATATCAGTTCAAAGATTTTCTGTGACTACCTTAAACTTTTGTATGGAGCACCTGAAGGAACCTGTGCAAAAAATAAAATGCTCTTATTTTTGCATGCAAACGCAAAAGTATTCCTGTGCGCACACGAAAGTAACATCTTTTTTTTTTTTGCAAAGGTCCCTTCAGGTGCTCTGTACTTTTGCACAGTACTCTATAATTACAATTAGTGTGAACGAGTAGCAAATAATGTTCATACTGTACCCAAGCCTCCCAGTCCTCACCATATTATTGATCTTTTTTTCTTTAGCCTATGGATCTGTGATGGGCATGATGAAGACGTCTTGCGGGATGTGGGTTCAACCGTTTCTCTACTGGTTTCCGAGTTGTGTACATATAGTTTTGTAAGCACTGTCAGTTTTATGAGTTGGGTATGCTGATTAAATTTTGGTGGCTATGGGTGAAAAGATCTGTGTCCTACAGATATAGTTCAACTTGGGGATTCGTCTTTTTTTTTTCTTTCAATATTGCTTGCTATTGATTTTTCTTCACTTTCTAATTAAATTTCAGAGCAGTATATTTCTCTTGGTCTCACTATGTTTTTCCCGGTTGGATTATGTCGTTGAGGTTATATATAGCTTTGAGTCATTTTGAATGTTTTTAATTAGAAAAGGATTAAGAGACAGAAAGTTCAAGTCAATTGATAGCTTTGGCTAAATGTGATTTGTACTCCTGCTTTTACTGATGCTCCATTTTCCTCACATGAAATTTCATTTTTTAGGCCAGTAATACAGTTTCAGTAACCTACCATATAGCAGGGGGAGGCATTTCAGGCTCAGTCATCTAATTTTATGACTCCCGCTTTCTCTTCACAAAGCAGTCAAACCCAGTGTCGGAAAACACAGGCTTCTGAAGCACTGTCTATTTGAGGTGAGGGTGGTTATTTTCAGGATTGGAGTGACACAGTCAGGTCATTTATCCTGCCATCTGCGGCTCCCGATGACAGCTATCTGTTCAGAATTAATTTTATGCTGAAAAGTGACTGTGTATTAAAATTTATATTATTAGAAGTATCTTTAACAGTATGATCAAAGTTGCATTCTAATTCTATTCTAAAACCCCACATATGCCATTTACAGCTCTGGAAAAATTTAAGAGACCATAGCAACATTTTTATTTTCACTCATTTCAGTGAAATGTGTCTGTGTAAAATCTGTGTAAAATATATTTTTTTTTGCAAACTGCAACCTGGCTCTTCCCTGCTTCTAATTGATGAAGGGCTTCTTCCTTGTTTTCCGTGTCTTTCAGGGCTTCTTTTTGAAGGTCACTTGAGGTCATCCTCAGGTTTATGAGGCACTGCCAGATAAGTTGACGGTCATCTTAGAAAGTTACTTCTGCCCTCCACCTGGCTGGTTTTTGGTTATTGCCAGTGCTGCCAGTGAGCCTGGAAGCAACCTGCCTCGCAGTGTAACGTCCTGCCAGTAGAAACTGCATTAAATCAGAATTTAAGAATGCAGTTTTTTTAAAAAGAGAAAGTAGTATCTTATTTTTTTTTCCAGAGCTGTTTTTGTACAGATCAATAGTTAGAATGACCTGTAGAAACCACTGGGTTAGTCCACTTCAGACCGCTTAAGCGTCTTGGAGTGCCATGCCATTGGGAAAATGTGATCATGCTTGTCGAATTGGTGACAAATTTGCAACCCTAGTTTATTTGTTTGTGTAGGACAAGAGCTACCGTCCAGTAGGTTTTCTATCATACCCGGCTTCTGATGAGCCACAGCTGTTCTCAGGTAAATACCAGGAGCAGGTGTGGCTCATCAGAAGCCAAGTGGGACAGAAAACCTACTGGATAGTAGCTCTCCAGGACCAGAGTTGGAGACCCCTGGTGTAGGAGCTGCTCTCCTTTGTTAAACCTTGTTTCATTTGATTTTCCTTCGTGTAGCACTTTCAAAGTCCCTCTTCTGTCTTTTCGGCCCGAGTCTTCAAAGACAGCTCTGCTATTCTGTCTGAGAGCATGTGTGGGCCTGTTCGTTTGGCTTACCAGTGGACTAATGGTGAAGGTCATGCTGGAAAGGTGTTCCTCCACTGTGCAGCCAACAGGATCTAACCAAAATGAGCCACCATGGCCTGCTTGTCTATAGTGTGGAAAGAAGACAAGTTGCAGAGTACTCTATATTTTTTCATTGTGCTTTTTATGGAATATTAAAAAAAAGGGTGATTCTCGATCCCAGAAGAAAAACGAAGTCACTGGTGTGTAGAGAAGGAACCTTGTAGAAGCCTTAGCCTCCGATTGATGCACCACTGAGGATGATCGATGATAATGGTGGTCAGGGAACCTGAGAGTGACCTGGTGATCCATGTCTGGTTTTGTATTCTAGGCTACCCTCGTTACTCGGTGATCGGAGACCACGGATCTGGAGAGCACCACCTCCGCATCCAGCGGGTGGAGCTGATGGATGACGCGGTCTTTGAGTGCCAAGCCATACAAGCCGCCATGAGGTCGAGGCCCGCCCGTCTCACTGTGCTTGGTGAGTTGCCCTAAGCACAGCTCATCACCATAAGTTTGATCGAAGTGGACGCGGTCACTCTCAGCACACACAAGCAAGCCACACCATCCTGCACATCGTTGGATACTGACCTTCAACATTCATCCTTATGAATGCTTTTGCTCTCAAAGTAACCATATCAAATGTCAGAATTATAAACACACCCTGGTTTATCAATCTTTAATGACTGACTGTAGACACTGCTAGCGATAAATTCATTGCTAACCTCAGTTTTCTCAAAACCTTTTGATTAGACTTGCTTTATGATCCATCTTTCATGGTATTTTCACCATTCAACTGATCGCAAATTCCTCAGCTGATATTCCTGATTTTTCATCTTCATTCCTCAGCTGATATTCCTGATTTTTCATGTCCATCTCTCCTTCACTTATATTCCTGATCTTTCTGTGCTCCCTCTCCTGCAACGTTACCAACATGCTCGCAGAGCAGGTGTCTTTGGAAGTCAGCCCTCTCTTCTATCATTATCTATTCCACATTGCGGTTCTGTACTTGCCCTGACCCCCTCCTCTGCGCCCCCCATCTCTCCTCTCTGCAGATCAGGTCAGGAGGTTAAGTGACAGAGCTTGGTAAGCCAAGTAGAAAGAAAGGGAGATCCATGCAGGGGATTGTCCTCTCTACAAGCGAGCCGGCTGCTTCATCGATTCCCTCTAATGAAAAGTGAAACTAACGATCGTTAGCTAGGGGAGCCAGTCATGGGAGGAAAAACGGAGGAAGAGAAATTGAGACCCAAAGTTATTCACGTCAGCCCCCACCCTAGTTGTGGGGGGGGGGGCAGCCAATTATCATAAATTCCTATACTGCTGTTGTTCTGTGTTGATTCATCTACTTCCCTTTATGATTCCTGAATTTCTGAGACTCGTAACATTTCTGACAGCCCCTCCCTGATTTGTTCTTGATTGATTAAGCCCTGATTTAATTACATTGTTTTGGATCTGGTGAAAGATTCTAGAATATTACCATTAATCCATTTCCTTTGTTAAAACAACAAAGGTTGTTCGTTTTTTTTTTTTTTTTTTTCCTTTTTCCATCAGTTCATTGTCCCATCACTCACCTGGAACATTAGTCAAATAGTGACTAGGAGGCAAGGGAAAAGGTTAGTGATTTAAGGTTCATTAAAATTACTAATTATAAATACAGGGGTGCTGTTTGTTTGTTTTGCTTTGGCCACTTAAGGAAGACAGATTGCTGTTCAGGTTTGTACGCTACACCTTTCTTTACCACTGGATTCATTCCAAAAGACCAAAAAAATAGATTTCAGGAGTTCTCTAGCTGTGATGTAATTAATATTCCGGCGATGTGGCGCTAGCCCCCCCCCCCCCCGCTGCTGTCAATACTGATGAGATGCTTATCGATTATTAACAATTCTGGGAGAATCACAGTGCAGTCTTGTTCCTACCTACTTAATGACATCCAGGTAAACTACCTTGGCCTAACCATCCGTGAACCTGAGATGTTTTAACCAGCAGCCTGTTACTGGGAAATGGTGGGAAGGTTTTGAATTTCTTAAACCCTGTTTTAGTGTTTTAGCTCTTTCCCATTGTTACGCCTGCTATTTTCGTAAAAAAGGAAAAAAAAAAAGGATCCATAAGAAGTAAATAGGTTCTTTAAAACTTATTTTCTAATTGAACATTTTATAATATAAAGGTAATTACTCACATTCTTACTGGTAAAATTATTATTTTTCAAGATTCATAATTTTAATTTTTTTTTTTGTCATTTAATCCCGTGGCCACAAACCTCTCTGGGGAGCATGAAGCCACTGTACCCGTGTGCCGCCATCTCAGATACCACAACAAGCACAGGTTTTTATTTTTTCTTATGAATAGTGTTTGTAGGATGTTCATTATTTTGAGTCAGGCACAGTAGTCCAACAAGGACTCCAAAATACCCCAAAAATGATCAGTCATCTTTGAACCTGTTGAGCAGCACTAGTGCTTGTGTCTCCCCCTGGTGGTGGGAGTGTTGAATTGGGATTCTGTGCAGGTAAGAGAAAGATATGAAACAAGGAGCCCTGGGGGCTAATTATTCCCCATCCAGTACAGTAGCAAAGCCTGTAAACTTGAACTTTGAAATGCCAGAGGTGACAGATAGACCTGCAGTGTCCTGAGGTCCAAAGTAAGCCAGAGTCTGGACCGCTGTTTCTCTTCATTACTATTTAACTGGACACAGACAGCCCTAACAGCTCTGCTTCTCCACAGGTGACCCCGTTGTTGAGCTCACTTGTTTCGACACCTGGAGAGTTCTTAAAGAGACAGTGCCCATTTCCATAATTTGCTTGTGTACGGGTTTTAGTTTACCCCCATCCGATTTCATGTTAATTCCCAGCGTGGCCATAGTCTTTACTGATACCAGTGCTGAACGAGATGAAAGGCAACATTAAAAGCATGCAAAGTAATACGACATGTTGTAATACATACATAAGCAATCAATTGTAACTGAGCTTTCCAAATGGCTCATTAGATAATATTTACTTTGCAACAGATTAACTCTAAAAGAAACTGATGGGTCAGATCTCTTTCCTTTTTCACTCAATGTCAAGCTTAATACTAATTAGAGTGACGCAGCAATGAGAAGATTATGTTTCCCTGCAATGAAATTAATGACTGAAAACATCGGGTGTTCCTGCCTGTCGGAGTACCCAGGACACATGCCTTTCTCACTAACAAAACGGTCTCCAGTCATTTGCATTATTTCCCTGTTGCATGGCAGGAAATGCTAATTCAACTCAGCACTCCTTCATCTGGAACCGTGTCTCTCTTTCGAGGATCCGGGCTAACGGAAATCGACCTCACGTTAATCCCAGAACTGGATTTTTCTCAGGAATCGCTGCACATTCCGTTACAGTTCTTAAACAGTCCGGCGCCCTGTAGCTGTCCGTGGATGGACTCCAAAGCACAGAAAGGTGGCAAATTGCGGAGTGCAAGGTTCGGGGGGTCCTAACGCCAAAGTGGGTGTGGCCTTGGTGCTCAAGCACAGCCTCCTTCTGCCTGATCAATTTCCGGCATGTTTTTCTCGTCCTTTTTCGTATCGCGTGCTTTCTGCCCACCTCTTCAGCCCACTTGACGCATGGTGACAGCTGGGGTCACCATTATCTATCTGAAGAGGTTAGGGATGCTGCCCCCCACACAAGTCCCCAGAGATTACATTTGGCAAGCAGGGTGGGGAAAATGGTGCGGATTGTTTGATGATTGGTATGAAAATACGACCCCGTATTGGTTCAAAATGGGACATAGCATTTTAGTTTCCAGTAGGGGACAATCCTGCATAATATGAGACGGGTAGGGACTTCAGCAAGAGCGGCAGGCCACACTTTCTTTTACTTTTAGTTCTGCCCTGAAAATATCGCAGTTGTGACTAAACCAAGATGACCCCTTAAGCTGCTAATGATTGTTCCTTCTTGCAAAAAAGAAAAGTCTAATTCTAAAATTCTAAACGTCTACACACTTTACTGGTTTGTTAGTGAGTTATGTTTGCTACACTTTTGTTATGCTTTACAAAGTTGAGGCTGATCCAGGAAGGGAACCACAGACCGACACTGCTGAAAATAAACATTTCTGCTGCTCTTGAAGCCCTAACACAAAAAGCGAAGGACAGCTTTGAGCTGTCTGAATTGAAGTTGTTGTCTCGAAGCCTCATAAAAGCGTCTCGAGGAACAAGCCATCTATGGTAACTGCTCTCCATCAAGGTCAGTGAAGGCATGAAGAGTGATGTTCCTTCTTAGCTTGACCCTGGAAAAACCATCAGTTATAAAAGTTCCTAATGAAGCAATATAACAAGACATCTATCTTCGTGTAAATAAATAAACAAAAGGAGAAAGACGCGAATGTGTCGGACAAAGCGCAGATGTTCTTTTTCAACTAGCTTTCAAAAGGTCTGTGAAAAATGGAAGCTTTAATTATTACTTGGGGAAAAAGGACAAGCTAATAGAAAAAATTCAGTAATACCCAAGTACCATGAGGGTCTGATCCCCTCTTCACTTGGTTTATTTTCATCCCGCTTTCTTTCTAGAGTGTTGCTTTCTACGTAGCCATTACCTCACTATACAGCACGTAGTACTGCAACATTACGGAAAATTCCGGTCATTCCTTAAAAGAGCAACCAGCAAGTCACCTCGACATAAACCCTTTACAAAAGTCAGTTTTTCTCACTCATGTTAAATCCACACCAGACCACCGCATTACCTTTTAATTTTATCTAAGAAAAAATTTATGTGGTATTAATAATGTAACAAAAATAAATCCTATTTTTTTGCGGGGTGATCCAGTCTTACTAAAAATCGTTTTTTTTTTTAAATAACTTTCACTTATTTGGAGCGAAGTATGGCAGTGTAAACTCAAATCGATGTAAAAAAAAAAAAACATAGCTATCCATTTGATGTGTGATTTTTTTTTTTTCATCTAACATGGCAAAAACATAATTATAGAAGGACTTATTTATAAAGAACAGCTACAAGAGCAAGAACAAAGAATAATGGAAAAGTAGAGATGTGTGAAGGCGGGATGCAGAGGGATGGGGTGGAAGAGAAACAGGGCCATGGATACGGGAAATGCGGTGAGTCTCAAAGACTTGCCCCATTTCATAAGTGGCTTAAACATCGTCAGCTAGACTGAGTAGGGAAGCAGAGATCAAGGGCGTCACGGGTCTTCCAGGCCTGCAGGGGGCGGCTTTCACTGGGCAACTTGCTTGGCCTGTGATGGAACCGGCCCCAGGGTGCTGCTGGGGTGCTTCAGTCTGTCATTGGATAATTGTTGTTTGCCCGTGTGATATCTAGGTTCCTCATTGTTCCATTGTTGCCAGGACATTGTAGATGTTTTTCCTTGTATTGTGTCTGAAGAGTGGATCAGTTGAATATTTGGGGACGAAAGATTGATCTTGGACTTTGCCTGTGCAGGTTAAAAAAACGCCCATTCTTTCTCATCAGTGAGCCTGTGGATCCATTATTACGTAACGGTACTAAAGGT